GTGTGTGTAAGGAGAGATTTGGAATGGGGTAATCAAGAAGACTCAAGAGTTATACAATACAGAAAAGGGCAGTGAAGCTGAAGTTTTGACTGAATCTACACTACCCTCTGGTAACTCCTAGAGCATGAAAACCTAGAGGAAGCTGGGGAGAGGGAATGGAGATAAGGGGTGTCTCGAACTTGCTCTATTTTTCCTTCCTTCCCTCTCTCCCTCTCTCCCTCCCTTCTTTCCTCCCTCCCTCCTTTCCTTTTTCACTCTTTATTTGGAGTGCTCTGTGATTTGCCTAGTACATACATCTAGGTCTTCCGAGAAGCAAAACTATGGGTGACATAGAAGGAGGAGGCTGCATGGGGTTTCTCTGTCTCTCTGTCAGTACTGGAACTGATAGCATTAGCTGTAACTGTTGGTGCTGTGTGTGTGTGTGCCCTAGTGAAGCAACACACACACACACGCACACACACACGCACACACACACACACACCATGGGACTGGAATTGGGGAGAGGCTACTGCTGCAGAAATCCAAATTCCTTATCCATCCAAAAGACCTGGTGCTCTTTCTGACTACCATTTATTAGTGATTCCCTGTAATTGTTTTAAGGCAGCTGTCTGTTGAACAAGCCCATCCCCCATCCCCTGGAAGGGACTGGGAGTTATGTAAGTCATTTAGATAAGCTAGCAGTAACTTTGGCTGTGTATAGCAAGGCTGATCCCCTTCCCCACTCCCCACAAAAAAAAAAAAAAAAAAAAAAAAAGTGAGGGAATTTGAAGAAAAACAAAACAAAAAACACTGCAGGTTACGCCAGAGAGTTGTATTTTGTGCTAAAAACAGCACTGTAAACAACAAGGAGGGAAGGGCCAGCATTCCTACAAGGAAAAAAAAAAAAAGAGGAAATTTCCTGGAAGGGTGGGACAGAGGATTAATTTGCCAACTGATAATATATGTAATGTCTCTGAATGTCTGAATGTGCATGGCATTTGTACTGAGATTCAGCCTTTAATGCTTGCAGTGTTTAGAGCTGTAAGACATACCATGGAAGAGTAAATGCCAGCTTGCGTTCTTTCACAATGAGATGCAAACTCTCTCAGCAAAGGTACATTCCTGACCATCATTCTTTCTCAGAATTATACTAAGGTACGCAAAACATGCCTGTATCTAACCCAAAACTGCTTCCCACAACTGGAGTGAGTACTGCTTTCAAACTTAACAAATGAAGTGAAATTTTCATTGTTTGTATAGATAAGCTAGCATCTACTTAGTGGGAAACTCTTCCTCGTTGGACCAGTCTATCAAATGCAATCTCAAGGTATCAGAATAAAGTTGCAGTAGGTTTACTTAAACTCATTTGTCAGAGATCCATCTTTATACCCATAAATTGAAATGACATATCACTTTTGTGAATTCCTACAGTTGTCAAAGCAGCCCTATGCCCCGTGTCCCTCTCCCTGGATCACTGCAAAAACCTCCTAATGAGTCTCCTTACTTCTCTTTTCATTCATAGATGTGGTGCAAGCAGCAGATAGACTAATGATATCTTTTGCTTGTGCATTTGTGTATTTAGTGTTGGGGAGTGGACCTGTATACTATGTCATGCATGCCACTAGATGACCACTTGCAGGAGGCAGTTCTTTCCTTCTATCATGTGGGTAATAGGGATCAAATTTAAGTCATTAGGCTTGGCAGAAAATGCCTTTTCCATTGAACTGTCTTACTGAACCTAGAGTAATAACTTTAAAGCAAAAACATATGCCTTGATGTATTTTACCAAAGTTTCCTCATACAAGACAAAGACTATCCCATAAAACCCTACACTGACAGCCTCTTCTCATTTAGGCTTCCCAGTGAGCTAGCTCTTTTTGTTCACCTTCATTTCTTCTCCTCTTCTTGGCACAGCAGGTATGCTTCAGCCTTAGAAATTTTATGTTTGTTTTTGCCAGCCCTGAGATGCCTACATGGCTTCCAACTCAGCACTCCTGCATCTTTGCTGTCTTCTTGGGTGCCCTAGTTTACCAGCCAGGATTAAGTTGCAGTTCCCAACAATTCCTGGTTCCTTTCTAGGCTATCACACTAGGCATTTTTGCTAATTTTTTCCCCTTGTCTTTCTCTGCTCATAAAACTAGAAACTTACGAAAAGGACACTGCTCCCTCCACTGACACCATGACTGACAATAAACAAGTGTCAAACAAATACATGTTGGGTAAATGAATGTTGCTTCAGAAAACAGTTCTTTTTTAATATGCAAACTCTATTTCCGACTAGGTGCCTGACATTGGCATTTATTTTGCATATAATCATAGATTGTGTCATTAGTGTAAGCACAGACATATAAAACATAATTTCCACTGTGTACCTATACTAGTGGTCAAGATATTTTTATTCTAAATCAAATATTTTCAAGGTATTATGAAGTTTCCATAGTGGTAACCTTGGGGCATTATAGTGTGATCAATGGAGGCTGATAAGACTTAGCAATTAAAACGGATTTGGGTGAGGGGAAAACTTTGAATTGGGGTTGAGATATAACACCTAACACATGGAATGGCTAGGGTGAAGATACAGAAGTACAGTTGTAGGCACTGTTTGTCTGACTTAAGAAAGGTAGAGCTTTCTAAAACAGTAAAGTCATTACCCACTCCTTGAATGCTTGCTTTGCCTCCCTATGTGACATTAATTGATAATGCTCTCCTTGGCTTTGGAATTCTTGAGAGGAAAACAATGTGTGATTATTCCAAAAGTCATTTCCAATGGGAGCGTAGAAGAGAGAGTTGGAGTCTAATAATGCCCACACCTCAAGTCTGCCCTAGTTAGGATTTCTATTGCTGTGGTGAAACATCCTAACCAAAGCATGTTGTGGAGAAAAGAGTTTATTTGGCTTATGCTCCAAATCATTTTTCATTATTGAAGGACATCAGGATAGGATAGGAACTCAAGCAGGGCAGGAAGCTGGAAGCCAGCGCTGATGCAGAGGCCATGGAGGGGTACTACTCATTTGCTTGCTTCCTGTGGCTTGCTCAGTCTGCTTTGTTATAGAACCCAGGATCACTAGCCTATGAATGGCACCACCCACAATGGGCTGGTCCCTCTCACATCAGACACTAATTAAGAAAGTACTCTACAGGCCAGATTACAGTACAATCTTATGGAGGCATTTTCTCAACTGATGTTCCATCCATTCACATGACTCTAGCTTGTTGTCAAGTTGACATAAAATGAGCCAACACAAAGTCACTCCATCACCGTCCTTTAATACTATAGTCTGATTTTATGATGGCAACCTTTAGTTTTATCCCCCAGTCTTATCCAGCTAAATTATGATTTCACAATCGAACAGACCTCATGTTCTAGAAAGCAAATTGGAAAAAAAAAAGTTTATTAGAGATGTGCATTTCTGCACATTAAATTTCTCGTTTTCTTTTCAATAGAAGTAAATCCACACAATTTTCTTCATTGTTCAAGACAGACAGAGAATGCAGCCTCTTAACAGGGGCACAATAGTTAGTTAATTAGCACAAGAGATCCTTTCCCATGGATTTCCTTAGCAAAGGGATAAGTGATCAGAGGTCTCTCTTTTCTTTCTTTATAGGAGCTTCTGATTTCTATAAGATCACTGTAATTTATCTTAACAGTAAGAGAATTATGTTTATACTACACAATGGGGTGAAAATTTAAGATTACAACTGAAATCACACCCCTGCACTGGACACTCACATAGCTGGGTGAGGAAAGAGAATAGATATTTCCTTAGATAAAATGTTAGAAATTCTTTGAAATCTTCTGATGTGATAGCCAAATTCATAGCATCTTAACAGTTGCTATGCATCCCCACATTGCAAAACTTTCAAGTGGCCCCTCATGAGGTGGTCAGCACTTACATGTATGAAGCACTTGCTTCTTTGAGAAGTGGTTTTCTTCCATTTGATTTAGTTTTTGTTCCTTGTGGTGAAATCATTTTTTTTTCCTTACATAATTCACACCCTTTAGTCCTACATTTACTTTCATTAAACATTCCACTGAACTACTTCCACATGCTCTATATCCATTAAAACATGAGAAGTTGGCTCTATAGTAAGAATAATTTTCTATATTAAACATCATATGGTTTTCAAAAGCCAGCCCTCATATAATCATGTCCCTCGATGCTCCATTGTGTAGGTAATCTCCTTGTGAAGATTTCTGTTAAATGATGCCTGTCTTTCAAAGTGCAGTGTATGGTTACCTGTTCCCACAATGTGATATCTGCACTCACACTTCCATTACATAATCTTCCACCTTGTTTTGCTTTGTTCCATGTTTCTGTCTGTGCATTATGTTGTTTCCTGTACATTCACATTTTTGCTATCTCTGAGAATCTGCTCTTGGCACCATTTGTCTAACACTTAGGAAGCATGAGGTTTACAAACACTTTACTGATGTGTAGACCACTGAACATCAACATGTGAGCAAGTCCAGTTAAAGATATTTCTGGAAAGCTGAGGATGTATCTAAGTAGAGTGTTTGCCTAGCATGCTTGAATCCCCTGGTTGCCATAAACTCAAATGTGCCTGGAATCACATCACTCAGGAGATAGATACAGAAATATACACAAGTCTAAGATCATCCTTGGCCAAAAAGTGAGTTCAAGGCCAGCCTGAGCTACATGAGAGAGACCTGTCTCAAAAACATTACAGTTCAACTTTAAATTTTTAAAATGTTTGCACTGCAGCTGGACAGTGGTGGCAGGTGTCTTTAACCCAGCACTCTAGAAGCAGAGGAAGGTAGACCTCTGTGAATTTGAAGCCAGCCTGCTCTACAAAGTGAGTTCCAGGACAGTCAAGACTGTTACACAAAGAAGCCCTATCTTGAGGGAAAAAAAGAAAAAAAAAACTGTTTGCATTGCTTGTGAGATTTTGTTTAAAAGACTGTAATTTTATGCAAAGTTATATTTTTTTTACTTCGGTGTCTTTATTTTAGAATTTTTTGAGACAAAATTAATTTTGACTGGCCCTAATGCACTTAGTAACACAATTGACCTTTTTTGTTGACAGAGTATTCAGTTCAAAGGAATGAAGAATTGAGACTCATTTTGGTGAATGAATTCTGATATATGGAATAACAATAAGCTGAAGATTTGGCCTGCTTTGAAGAAACAAACACTCCATTTGTCTAATCCATAGCAACAAAACCTAAACAATGAATTCAACATTCTTCTCCCAAGTTGAAAATCACTCTTTTCACTATAACAACTCTTTGAATTCTCCCCTTCTGGCTTTTGAGAATGACGATTGCCACCTGCCTTTGGCTGTGATATTTACTTTGGCTCTTGCCTATGGAGCTGTGATTATTCTTGGGGTCTCTGGCAACCTGGCATTGATCATAATTATCCTGAAACAGAAAGAGATGAGAAATGTCACCAATATACTGATTGTGAACCTATCCTTCTCAGACTTGCTGGTCGCCATCATGTGTCTCCCCTTCACATTTGTGTACACGCTGATGGACCACTGGGTCTTCGGTGAGACCATGTGCAAACTGAATCCTTTTGTACAATGCGTCTCCATCACAGTATCCATTTTCTCTCTGGTTCTCATTGCTGTAGAGCGGCATCAGCTAATCATCAACCCCCGGGGATGGAGACCAAGTAACAGACATGCTTACATAGGCATTGGTGTCATTTGGGCCCTTGCTGTGGCTTCTTCTCTGCCCTTTCTGATCTATCAAGTTCTGACTGATGAGCCCTTCCAAAATGTAACACTTGCTGCCTTCAAGGACAAGTATGTGTGTTTTGACAAATTCCCATCAGACTCCCACAGGCTGTCTTACACGACCCTCCTTCTGGTGCTGCAGTATTTTGGCCCCCTCTGTTTCATATTTATATGCTATTTCAAGGTAAGAAACCCATTCATCCCTTCCCCACAGTTTCCTTCCTCGCCTTCTTTGTGTAGACTTCCCCATGAGGTGGATGTTTTGCTTGACTCACCCTTTCTTCCTCCTTAGATATATATTCGCTTGAAGAGGAGAAACAACATGATGGACAAGATAAGAGATAGTAAATACAGGTCCAGTGAGACCAAACGAATCAACGTCATGCTGCTGTCCATCGTAGTTGCCTTTGCAGTCTGCTGGTTGCCCCTTACCATCTTCAACACTGTGTTCGACTGGAACCACCAGATCATTGCTACCTGCAACCACAATCTGCTGTTCCTGCTCTGCCACCTCACTGCAATGATCTCAACCTGTGTCAACCCTATCTTTTATGGATTCCTGAACAAAAATTTCCAGAGAGACTTGCAGTTCTTCTTCAACTTTTGTGATTTCCGGTCTCGAGATGATGACTACGAGACCATAGCCATGTCTACCATGCACACAGATGTGTCTAAGACTTCTTTGAAGCAGGCAAGTCCAGTCGCATTTAAAAAAATTAACATGAATGACAATGAAAAAATCTGAAGCTGCTCAGAAGATATGGTCCCAGACTACATCTGTGGAAAAGCAAGCACAATCTGCAGCATGCTTTCGCTACCTGTGCTCCCAGGGAATGGAGTGAAATGGCTTCAGAAAGTCCAGCACATTCTCTATTGAGCTTAACTGTTTTGTTATGGATGCCATGATTACTTGGGATCAACATAAGTGGACTTTGTCATCTTCTGGCAACAGTTTTCACTAGACATCCTTGGTGTGTGTGTGTGTGTGTGTGTGTGTGTGTGTGTGTGTGTGTGTGTGTGTGTGTGTGTTTGCATCTGTTCTGTCCCTCTGTGTGCATGTGTGTGAAATTATACATATGACATGATTCTTACATTGTATTTATTGGAGGGAATTTCTCTAACATATTATTATGAGCTTACTTCAAAAGCTGTAGCCACCTGATATGCTTAAGATTTGGGGCCTTCAAGATTGGATGAGAATTCCAAGACCCTGGACTACTTTCATTCTGTGCTAGGCATCATTTTAGTCTGTTACAAGAGTGACAATAGACAAAAATCTCCTTTCACAATGTGCCAGAGCCAAAAGAGAATCTGAAGTCACTAGACAATCTCTCTCTCTCTCTCTCTCTCTCTCTCTCTCTGAGAGGACTGGATTTGTCACTCCTAATTGAGTATCACTTAAGATAAAGATATGTAAAGAACACATTATCTGTGACTATCGCTGGGAATTAGGCAACCCACATGAATGAAGTGGCATAGCAGTTCCCTGATTTCAATTTTTTTCCGACAACCAAAGCATTTCAAGGTAATTGGTTTAGTAGGCAAATTAATTTTGCTGCAGATAGTTAAATTGTATCCACAGGACTTGATAGTCCTGTGGTTTTGCATTGTTCATAAGAATGTTCAGCACTGTCAAGATTTTGGGCACAAACATGTGACTCTGAGAACATTGCCAGTTCACACTACGTAGAAGCAAAAGATGCATTTTCCACATAGCAGTGCCTACATAGTAACTACTATTAACTCTCACTGTTTATCTTTCATGGCAGAGGACACCTAGCAGGTATCTATTTGTACCTAAAACTTTCACATAGCCAGTCTATCCTAGCTTGTATAAACTGTGTGACATGTGGAATTTTATAACCATATACTATTGTATTATAGAGTACTGAGTAGCCATGTCATATTAACATATTTACTTTCATATATCTTGCAATCATGATTTAGTCTCAGAAAAGATATTTTGAAGAACAAGACAGTTTCAGTGTATTATACAAAATGTTCAGCGTGTTTGATTTTAGAAGGGCAAATACTTTCTGTATTAAAATTATTTGGGCTTTTTCAGTGGCGTCTGTATTGTGTTTTTCTTGAGATAACATATCTTTCTGTCCCATGACTTCCCTCCCATGATATGGTATCTCCATTGAACCCAGTATCAATTTGCTGGTGAAATAGTCTATCCTGTAACCACTGATGGTGGATTCACTTTACTTTTCTAGATCTTAAAGATTCCTAAATGCAGGGACTATATAATAATGATGGCCCACAGTGCATTTAGTGCAGTGACAAGTAATTAGGGTGTTATTTTAAATATGTTTCAGGGGCTAATGAGCTAGCTCAGTAGGTAAAGAACTCATGGCACAAGCATGTTGCCTGGAGTAGGACCCCTTGGCCCATGTAACCCCAGTGCTCTAGGAAGGAACAGACCAAGGATCCTTGAGGCAAGCTACACACATACACACACACACACACACACACACACACACACACACACACACACACAACTATATGTTGTTTTAGAAACAAGTTAATGAATGCAGGCAAAATTTGCTTCCTTCCCATTGTGTCACATGGAATTCACATCTTGATGTTTCCTTGGATTCTCCTTATATCCCTCTTTACAAGGGAACACTTTCTCTTCTGCTGTATTATATTCATCCCTAAATGAAACAATACCCTTTAAATGTTAGAGTATGTAAGAAATACCAACATTCTTATGGTAGTTGTTAGTATGAAGCCATATGATAACCTAAGGTTGTCCCTTAAGTGCCCAGATAAAAGAGAAACAACCTAAAACTGCTTCTAGTTCTTGTTCCCCTCCCTCTTCCCCTCCCCCTCCTCCTCCTTCCTTTGGGTCTTTGAAACAATGTTTCTTTGTATGGCTTTGGCTCTCCTGAAATTAGCTCTGTAGACCAGGCAGGCCTCAAACTCAGAGATCTGCCTGATTCTGCCTCCCAAGTGCTGACATTAAGGGCGTGTACAATCACCACCTAGTTTAGAATCAATTTTAAAGATTCACTGAAAAATGACAACCTGGAGTTCTTACTATTTGGCATTTTCTTGCACCCAGAAACTAAGGGGAACTTTCTCTACTTAGGTGCTTTAGAAACCAAGTGTTACTGGAAAGCATTCCTAGGTGGCCATTTCTATGATACTTAAAAGACTGTGGATTACTTAACTCTATGTATGTAAGCAACTGTATATCAAATTGTTCTAATTCATTCAAATAGGAAGGGGGCTAGCAGTTGAGTCTGGAGCCAGCACCAATATGCTAGAGTTGAAGTAGGAATAAATGGCTACATTAAAGGCAAACTATGGAGAATTTTTAGATCTCTAATACAGCAAGAACTATGTCAAATGTGGAAGTTCCAATTACATTGTTGCCATTCCACACAAAAAGAAACAAAACTGGAAGAACACATGACTCAGGAATCCAATCCAAACACTATTAGTACTACTAAGCTAATACAGACCTGTTATTGTAGTTCCATAAGATAATTTTAAAGTATAGCTCTGATGGTAAAGTGCTTGCCTGGCATGCTGGACACCCTCTGCTCAACCTCCAGTACCACATAAACAGTATGGTTGTACAGGCCTGTAATCACAACACTCAGGAGGAGAGGGCAAGGGGGATCAGAAATTTAAGATCATTTCCAGCTTCATATTGAGTTTGAGGGCAGTCTTGCCTTTGTGACACCCTTTCTTGAAAAAAGTATTTTTCTCATCTTCTTGAAGTTTATATTACATAGTAATAACAATACCGATGATGCCAAAATTTTCAGAAAAGAATAGAATGAAGCAGACAAGTGGAGAAGTGGCCATGGGGGCACTATGTGTCTGTTATCCCCTTCAGAGTTTGAGAAATCTACATTAGAATATCATTAAATTATATATTTTATTACTTTTCCTTACTGTTGATTGGATATTCTCATCTGCTATTTGATCTTATATTCTCAGTGAAATATGACTACATATTGTACTCTAATTCCAACTAGACACATTGATGATTAAAAAAAAATGTTCTTTGTGACATAAGGGAAACACTCATCTATTGCTTGTGGTAGTACAAACTTACATAGCCACTATGGAAATCAGTGTGGCAGTTCCTTATGAAGATGAGAATCAATCTACTTCAAGATAAGCTATGCCATTCTTGGGCATATACCCAAAGAAAGCTCCATCCTATCACAGAGGTACTTGCTCAACCATGTTAACTGTTCCTATATTCATAAAACACAGAAATTGGAAACAACGTAGTTGTCCCTCAACAGAACCTTTACACATAAAATATACATTTACATATTAGAGTTATTACTGAGCCATTTTTTTAAAAATGTGAAATTTATAGGCACATGGATGGAATTAGAAAAATCATCCTGAGTGAGGTGACCCAGAAAGACATATGGTATGTATTTGCTTCTATGGGGATATTAGCTGTGAAGCCAATGATAACCAAGCTACAATCCATAGAACCATAGAGCATAGGTATAGAGCAAATGATAGATCTAATTAGGAAAGGAAAATAGAATAGCTATGGATGGCCATGGGGCTATAATGAGAGCATCATGTGTGTTGGAGAGAGAGTTGGCTGAAGGAAGAAATGCAGGGAGAGACAACTAAAATTAATGGGCATTTGAGAAGTAGTATGGAAACAGTACAGTAGAAGCTTCCTGAAATATATAAACATATGAAGGGGATCTAAATGAAATTGCCAAATAATAGGGGAGACAGAGTCCAAACTGGCTATCTCTTGTCAGCAAAGAAAGCTTCCAGTACTGGGTAAGGTTACATCTAATTGAGTTTTTGGCTAAAGGATTCCCATGGGAACATCCAACAACCCAGTCTATGGCCAAGACAAATGGCCTGCTGTCTACAAGCTAACATCAAAGATAAAAACCTACACAAGTCATTGAACGTGGAGACGTTGAACTGGTACCTATAAAAGCCTTCATCCTTATGTTCTGTCTGTTACAGGAAGGTGTTCTTCATGATACCAAAAGAGAAACATGAATGCCAACATACCCACAAACCTTTTGGTCTGTGATGGTATTCTGTCTGGTTTAGTATATTTATGGGATTTCTGCGTGTGTGAACTAGTGGATCTCTGATTTTTGGACCTTCCATTGAGCTCTTTTCTTCTGTTTGTTTGTGTTTCCAACTCCATTGTGTTAGTTTTTATATTGTTTTATTATATTTTGTTTTATCATGTTTGGTTGCTATCTTTTAGAAGCCTGTTCTTTTGTAATGAGAGACAGAAGGGGAGTGGGTCTGGATGGGATGGGAGGTGGGGAGGAACTGGGAGGAGTAGAGGAAGGGGAAATTATAATCAGGATATATTACATCAGAAAAGAATCTATTTTCAATTAAAAAAAAAAAAAGGAGAGAAGAAATGGTTCTTCACATGGCAAATATGGTCAGCAGATGGCCAGGCTGAGGTTCCAAGGATACATCCCCTTGTAACATTGCTACAATTCCATGTGTCATGGGCATCCTGCAGGCTTTTCTTCAGTGCTAGGGTAGTTTTTGTTCAGCAACTCAAGGAGTCTCTATAATTAAGGTAGATTTTCAATGTGGCTTAAATTCTTCTGTAGTTTCTATATTTTTTTTTTTTTTAAAAAAACTAGGTTCCTGTAACCCACCAAACAATATCCTACAGTTAACTAGCAAAAATGAATACTTAGCCCATTAGGTGAACTAATAAAGTTCCCCAAATCTGTTCATGTAATGAGTTTTTGATTAGTATGTATATGTCAGTAATTGATCACATGCCACACATTGTTTGGAAATGTATGTTAACAATGTTCTGGAGTTGAAGAAGGAATAAATGACCTCGCTAAAAACAAATTGAGGAA